ACGAAATGATGGGTTGGCTAATTTCATCTGAGAAGTGGGCCTTGTCGAAGATTTGCACTTCCTTGTCGTTGTCCGCCTTGAAAATGAAGCAGACCTGCTTGTAGCCGCGCACCTCAATTGGTACTCCTTGAGCATCTTGAAGCTTGGGTGCGCCTTCATCCAACTCGGTGCCAATATCCAAGTAGGAGCTTGGAAGGATGGTTGCATCGGCTCCTGAATCGATGATCACCTTTACTTGATCCTCTTCTCGCATGCAATTCTGATGCCCTCGCACAGCCATGATGTGGTAGATCTCCTGAACGTGGTCGTCATTGGGCTCGTGCTCTTCAGAGATGGAGAAAAACTGTACCATTCTGATCTGTCTACCAGCTGTGCTCGGCATCGACATTGGCCTCAAGTCAAAAATCATGGGCTCATTCTCGAATTCAACTTGTGAAACTCCTTCAACCCTTTTCACTGACCCAGACTTCCAGCTTGCACCTTGGCTCGAAGTGGTAGTGCTCGAAGCCACTGTCCCAGTTTCTGCGCTCGGTTTGGCATTGGGAGTCTCTTCGCTTACCTGTCGAAGCCTCTGCCAGCAATCTTTCGAAAAGTGTCCTGCTTTGCCACAGGTGAAGCAAGTCTTTTGGTCTGACTTGCCTTTTTGACCTTTCTGGCTTTCTCCCTTGCCAGCGCTCTTCTGCTGGGATTTGCCGCCGAAGTCCTGGGATTTCCCATAGCCTTTGCCCTTGCTCTTGCCTTTCGGCTCGCCTTTGCCTTTGCCCTTCCTGTCGAAGTCCTTGCCCTTGCCTTTGCCTTTGCTGTAGTCGTTGCCCTTTCCTTTGATGCGGTCAATCTCCATCGGCACCACACCTTCTCCGCCTCCAGGATCAGCTCCGAGCATCATCACATTCGTCCACTTCATCGTCGCATTGTCATACTGCACGATGGCCTCTCGGAGCTTCTGGTAATCCTGGGACTCGGCAACGTTCAGCTGGAGCCACATTTTGAGCTGTCCGCTGATGCATTTCATCAGGACTGCAAAGCGGATGTTGTCTTCCAGCTTTGAACCCGTTTTCTCATACTCCACAAAGGCCTCTTCCAAGCGTAGGAGTTGTCCAAGAATGCCTCCTTTCCTCATGTCGAAGGGCTTCCACTCCAAGATCATGGTCAGCAGACCTAATGCACGATTCTTGGAGGTGGGCTCGAGGCTTTGGATCAAGAGGCGGTAGGCCTCCATGCCATTGGACTCCTTCACCTGGCGGATCATGGCGAGAGGGCGTTGCTTCACAAGGGATGCTAGCAGTGAATACAAAAATTTGCTTCGTTGCTTCTCTTCATCAGACTGGATGCTGGAGTCGATCGGGTTGTCTGGCCTTGCCCTGATATCTTTGAAGTCTTCTGTGAACATGCCGTTCAGGGAGGACAAATATTGTTCAAGGCCCCAACTGAAGTCCCTCCATTGGGATAGTTCTTCCTCTCTGGTCTTTGCGTCCAGCTGTGAGGGTTTTGGCAAAACCTTAAACCAAGTTTCCTCTCCACCTTGCCGTCGACTAAGGGCATCCGCGGCCGATTGCGCAGCCAGAGCAGCCGCTTCAGCGGCTTGGATCATCCTCATGGCGATCTCTCGCCCTTCTCCACCTCCTGCCGCAGAGGAAGGCGAAGCTCCAGCTTCTCCAACTCCAGCCATGGCCACCAATCTCAACTTCAGGGACCTTCTTCAACCTTAGGATGTAGTCCACTGCGGGCAAAGGGCCTATGGCGCCAAATGAAAAAAAACAAGAGCCTCCACCAATCCCTACGGGATTGGCTTCTCAGGCTCCGCTACCATGCGAAGCTTTTCTTGCTCGGGCAAAGTTGCGGTCTCATGTACAAGCTTCTTGATTTGTGCGTGTCATCTTAGATGATCTACCGCTCATGAGTGAGTGCTTGCTATGGACTTTTGCAAAAACAAATTCTTTTTGGAGAAGTCGTATGACTTCGAGTCTGGACGGAGTCTTGGGACTCCGGGCACAACCGGCGACGGCTTGATTGAAGTCGAAGGTGCATCAGCACCTGGCGACAGCATCTCTTGCAGAAAAGCACTGTTCGTTGTTCAGAGTTGGTTGATGGCGACAGCTGTTTTTAGGCTTTGTGCCCTAGAAATCATGAAGAACTTGCACCCAGTAGAAACTTTGGGATGGAGATGCCTGGGGCAGTGGCAGGTGTTACTTTCAACAAGTCTTACTGTCTCCAGCCATCGCACTACTTCTTTGCTGGCCCAAAAAAAGTGGCTTGGAGTACTCTGGGAACACAGGGGGAGTTGGATCAAGATCTGCCACGGCTACGCTTGAGAAAAGAACATTCAAACAAATGCAAAGTCTCCTCGTGAGAAGAACAAGTCAAAAGTGGTAGAACATGGCCGGACAAGGGTTGTTGGTCCGTTTTTGAATCATCTCAACGCAACCTCGCCCAACTGCTAAGACATGCAAGCGGGCCATGATCATCCGGAATGCCAGCAGAAGCTATTGACCTCAGTGACCCGAGCGACCCGAGCGACCAGCAGGTTCATTCTGCAGCCAGCAGGCTGTGTGCCAAAAACGCCTCTGTTGTCCGACAAATCCGCCTCATCCAAACCTGCAAGCTTAGGAAAGATGACGTTTCCCATTGGGTCGAAAAAAGTTGAGTATTCCATCCTGCACTATCGCCACTGAAAGTGAGAGCTGGACACATATACAGATATATATATATATAGAAAGATTTGATTGACAAAATGGAAATACGAGCTTGCAGCTTGCCTAAACGACGAAGACTTCGCCTGGCAGCATTAAAGACACAAGCACATGGTGTGCAAATCGGTGGAAGACCAAAAACTGGCTCTGACAAACCACTTGAATCTAAGCAGCAGGCTCTGTGTCTTTTTCGTTCCGACCAGTCATCTGTGCAACTGCCGTTCCTCGCTTGAAAGTGTGATGACAGGTGCAGGAGACAATTCCGCCATTCAACACATGCTACTTAGCTGGTAGCACTTCGCATGCCAACTATCCAATTCTTCAACTAGAGTCATTCAAGACACCAGTATGCCGAGATATGTGGAGCCCCAATAGGATATATATATATATTGAATTGCGAGTCCTTTCTCGGATCCACGTTTGATTGCCCTGTGTTGCAAGCTTGCCCTGAGTGCTGCGCTATCTTCAGGAGACAGAACCTGCAAAGCAATGTGTTCCTTGACTCTTAGACTTTATGGTGCTTTGGTCTAAATGTCAAACCCCGGCATCAGTGTTTGATATGTGGAGCTGTGGATTCTAGCCAGCTTGAGGACCTTCACATGGTTCAAGACTCACCCTTGAAGCAATCCCCTTTTGAATGGGACTGAGGCAGCAGCTCAGGGTCCAGACAAGCAAAAATGATGCCAACTCACATGTGGCCTCATCGCCAATGTCCAGAGTGAAGGCATCTGCCTGCCATGTCAGTGAGATTCTGAGAAGCTTGGGTTTTATCATCCAGCCAATCTCACCTGAGAAAAACCTATCAAAGTCAAGTTAGCGATGGAAGGATCTCACAGATTGAGCATCATTCATTCAAGAGTTGGAATGGCACCAAACCGCCAAACACTGCAAACACCATTCGGGAACACCGAAGCCGAAGCCTGGGCAAAGTTTCGGAGACTTCGCCGGCGGCCACTACTCTGGAGAGTTTCTCGCTCATCGGGCAGGACGTCATCTACTGGTTCGAAATCGTTCTCCTAGAGAAGCGAAACAAAGCTGTTGAAGCAGGTATCAACTTCACGCGGTATCGACGCAAACAGTGCGCTCTCAGTGTGCACCCTTGCTCTTAGCTCCTCCATGACATGTTGAATGCGGCCAACCATTGGCCCGTGCCCGGGTTCGAGCTTGGGCCTAGGAGTTGCATCCGTTCCAAGCTCTGAAGACATGGAGCATCTGGGAAAAACAACTAGCAGCTAGCATCTGCAACTTGACTCTTTGCAATGTTGTAGCAAGAATAAACAAGAGTTGAACTTCAATCAATCAAAGCTAAAACCGTGAAACAAGCTAGGTGTTACCAGGCATCCCGCAGCATGACGCTGATCTTGGTACGGACCATGTCGAAATTATCTTGCATCTCTTCGGCTCTTGCAACCTCCTGCATTGCCTTGTGCAGGTGAAGAATGCATGTTTCCTTTGCTTTCTCACACATTCTGCATTCTCTTGCCTCCTTTTCCGCCTTGGCTTGAACAAGCCTCGCTTGCTGTATCTTGCTGCAGCAAACAACCTGCCACCAAGCTGTCAGAGTTGTCGAAGGCAGGGAGCCGTCAGGTCATGACGTCTTAGGGGCTGACGACCAGAACAAATAGAGCGGCCACCACCAGCAAGGTCACCACTGCTATGGCCATGCCTGCCCCAGCAAGGTCACCATTAATCTGGAATGGTCCAGAGGCTCACCAAATCCTTTGCCTAAGCTACTCGCTGCGTCTGGATCCGATGAGCCGTCTCCGCTACCTTAGCTCCATGTGCTTCCAAAGGTCGGCCGAGGTCTGATCTGGGATCCCTGCTGGGAGGCACCTGGGACATGAGAGAGTGCGGGGGAGTGCTCCAAGCGACAGAGACGTGAGTTGACAAGCGACAGCAGTCTTGTTTTCCATGCCTCGGAAATAGTCGTGACGCTCAGAATCGTGGGCAGGACGGGCGATTCCTTCAAGGAAATGACTTCAACCTGCGCGCAACAACTTGGATTGCAAATGTTACACCATAGTCAGGGTGATATCATCCTGTCATATTGATATTGTTTTATATGTTTGTCATATGACCGAAATCATTTGAAGGCATCTCTTTCGGCTGCCTCTTGAGCCTGCAGAAAGTTCACAAAAGCAGCTTGCTGAGGCGATGCCTGGGAGGTGCAGAAAGCGGTCTCTCTTCGCATGGAGCGCTTTTGGGATCAACAAGAATCCTAGGTCCTACGGAGTCCTTCGTTTGGCTGAACTCAACTCTTTCAAGGACTGGCATGTCTTCTCTTTCACCTTCAGCAATCACGAGTGTCACAAAAAGGCGCTGGCCTGCGTCCTCACAGCATAGGAGTACCACAGGATTGACGATGCGCTGATGACGTCAGTAGCTGTGGGATCTTGTTGTTGGGCTTCCTCCAAGCTCCATGTCTTGATCACATAGTCAACGACATAGGACGAAGAACCATCTGAGGAGTCCCCAACTAGGGTGGCATTCAGCTCCTCGATTTGATCTGGATGGATGCCTATCAGAGACGCTAAGGCCTCCCGGGCTTTGGCTGTCGTGACTGGAGTGGTGCTATTCACATTGACTGTCACACTGCCGAGCACATAGTCTCGCTGCTCCTGGGCTACTGCAGGGTCATTCGCTCCAATGCAATATGAGGTTCCATAATACCGAGCAGATGTATTGGAAGTTATGATGCATGTTTGATAGCCAGAGAGGATATCGTCCTCGTTGGTGCAATTTGCTTGACACCTCTGAGAGTGTAGCATATAGTGGCTACAATCTGATTCATCTGGCAAGCATATGACCACAGGAAGTGTTGTTGTGGAAGTCACAGTGGATGAAGTAGAGGTGTATGTGGTGGTTCTGTTGCTGGGATGTGTGGCCTCCCATTCGGCTGCTCTCACGGCATCAAGAATTGCTTGAACAACTTCTTCTATAGGCAAACCAGCTGCACGAGCAACTGCTTCTGCTATTCTCGCCGCAGCATCCATCTGACCCTGTTTGGAAGAGCAATTTGTGGAAGACTCGAAATTGCCGTTTAAAGCGCTGGATCTGGCAGCAGCTGCTGCTGCAGCGGCTGCTGCCAAGGCAACCTGCTCCCGGGCAGTAAGGTTGCCATTGGCTGCTGCAGCTGCTGCAGCCATCCCTGCAGCGGTGGCCTGCTCCGTGCAGTTGTCGCCTCGTTCCCGAGAAGCTTCGGCTGCTGCCTCTCCAGCTGCTTGGGCTCCTAAGTCAAACTTCACGGAAGCAAGACCCACCTGGCCTGCGATTTCTGTCGCCCATTGTGTTGCAGCTGCTATCTGCCCATCTGCTAGCACCAGAGCATGGCTGTTGCCACATTGATTAAAAGCGGGATGAGCAGAGGGGCAAGCCTCGCTTGCAGAGCAGCACTGGTTCCCTGCACAAGCAGCACCATCGGAGCATGTGTAGCTGCTGTCATACGAAAGAACCTGGTCTTGGAAAACTGCTGCAGCCGCCGCTGCTGCTGCCAAAATTGCTTGCTGGGTATCCAAAAGTCCTTGCGCCACCGCTTCAGCGAAAGCTGCCTGTCAGAGAGGCCGGTGGAGGCGACTGGAGTGCAGGCCAGCTTTGCTTCAAGGAAAGCTTTAGCAAGCATAGACTTTAAACTGGTACTTGCCATGTTATGCTTCACCAAATCATCTTCTGTAAACACCTTGCTGCTACGATGGTGCCTGCGCAGCGGCTGCGACTTGATCTTGAAGGCTGGCACCAGAAGCCGCAGCGTTGGCAGCTGCTGCCGCACCCTTGGCATTCGTTATGAGATCTGCAGTCGTGGCCTCATCGATGCCTGGGGAATGCAGTGCGATGCAACCTGATTCATTCTTTGCAGAGAGGAACTGATAAGAATGTTTAAAATCTATAGAGACACAAAGTCAGGCCAGCAAACATTCTGAGGAGTTCAGCAGCCACATTGTGCATGTGTGTGTGTGCGCCTTGCAAGCTTGTGAGAGTTTGGAGCCTTGTCTAGAGATTCCTCAAGATGAGCAAAGCCACTCTTCTAGTTTCCCCACAACAGTTCTCATCGACTCATCGTCGATTCCTTTTGTTCGTGTTGCAGCCGATAATGTGATGGCAAGCCCGACACTAATATTGCTGTGGCTTTGGGATTGATTGGCTATGTTATATAAGTATATAATGTTATATACATTCTATGAGATTGCTTTCTCCAAGTCTTGTCCCATCACAAGGACCCGAGTACCCGTTTTGTTCAACAAACAGCCCCACACCACCTGCTTGAAGTGCAACGGTGGCTGCAGCGTCAGCAGCAGCACCTGGAGGTCAAGCAAACATCCACCAAACCAACACAAACCAGTCACAACAAACTTTCGCGGTCTCGGGTCCAAAGTCTTTCCTTCGCGTTTGTGCTGTGGATCAGCCAGGTGCCGTCCGAGGGGCTGATCTGCTCTTCAGAAGTGAGGGAGGCCTCAACCAGAACATCTAGTGATCATATCTGAAATGGACAGAACACAGCTTGGTTTGTCCCAGACCAATGCTGCAAAGCGAATTCTCCTGCACTTTGGCCTGCAAGGCAGCGTCTGCAGCAGCAGCTGCAGCTGCTTTGACCTTGAACTTGCGAATGTCTCACAATGTATGGACGTCTTGCTAGCTTGAAATGCTGGCTACATCAAAGAAAATACCTACAAGAACATTTCCCTGCAGTGGGAAGGTGCGAGAGATAGTGTGTACACTAGTGACATGCAGAAAGGGTTTGTTTATATATATATACAATGAAAAACAAAGGCTAAAGGTGGGGTCCGTACCAGCATCAAATGATCTCTCATAACATGCAAGAAATATGTTCCCACTGACATGTGTATAATCAAAGTCTAATTGTCACTCAGGCCTGTGAAGGATTCTGTAGCGCTGCTTTGTTCAAAGTGTATGCAATGTGCTAGTGTACAACAAAGCACTCATGATAAGCAAGAAGGCTGGAGAAGAGAAAGGCTAGCTCTGAAGTTTCCAGAAACAGAAAGTTGTTGATCAGCTCCCAAGGCAGTTACTTTAATAGTCGACACAATCAAAGCAAGCCGAGGCTATGAATTGCCCATTCTGGAAAAATGAAACTTGAGGCCAAGGGGGGGGGCGAAAGCTAGCGCTCCAGAATGGGAAAGTGGAGGGCAGCGAGGTAGGAAAAAAACACGGCGCTCTTTTTGGAGGCAGGGGTGAAGAGTCCTTTATATGTGGCTCTTTGCCCGGATCCTCCTGCGAGAGAAGAGAGAGAAGAGAGACGGAAAGACGAGAGACAGAGAGGAGAGAGAGAGAGAGAGAGGAGAGAGAGAGGAGAGAGAGATGAGAGAGATGAGAAAGAGATGAGAGAGATGAGAGAGACAGTGAGACAGTGAGAGAGTGAGAGTGAGAGTGAGCGAGTGCGGCCGCAAGATACGCAACGCTAACCGCATGCCAAAGAGCGACGACAGGACGGAGTCGAACTTGCGAAGAGGGAGGAGGGAGGGACGGAGGGAAGATGGGAGGAAGACAAGGAGGAGGAGAGGGGAGGTGGGGAGAGGGGAGGTGGGGAGTGGGGAGTGGGGAGGGGGGAGGGGGGGGGGGGGCTTCGACCTGAAAAATCAGGGGTTAGGATTTGCACCCAGTCGAAAGAAACCTTGCTATCGCAAGAGTAACTCCAGCTAGCTTCGCTAGCTTTCGTGATGAGTCAGGGATTAAAGCTATCTTTTCAAAAAATGAAAGTCCCTCTTATATCAATCCTCTTGTGCAGTGGAAGTGAGTTGTGTGAGAGACTGTCGGATTCAATTTTTCAAGAGCAAAACGAGCTCGCCCAGCCAGCACAGGCCTGATGCTCAGCATTCAAACCACAGGCAGCAGCAGCTGCTGCTGCAGCTTCTGCAGCTTTCTGCGCCTAATCAAAGGATGCAAACTCGCAGGCGGATGTCTCCCTACCAATGTGGTTGTACAGATTGTGTGGAGAATCTGTTGCCGTTCAGGCCTGCAAGGTTCCTGAATCTCCTGCCGCCGCAGATATCCGTTGAGCTGTTTCTCCAGCTCCAGCGGCAGCAGCAAAGGAGCTCTCCTGTTGCAGGAAACATGATGCCAAAAAACGGTTTAAAAATGTTACTAGGCTGGCACTTGACGACAGAACACGCTGCATTTACTCATGTATTTAATCATCGTCAAGTTTCAGCTCGTTCTTATACATCAGCAGCAAGCACAAATCTTCAAATCATCGGCGCAGTCCTCCTGTGTAAGTCCCTGTTGGAGGCCTATGACTGCAGCGGCTGCAGCAGCGGCTGCTGCCTTCATTGGCTGCACGCAAGAACATAAGCCACACACATGAAGCTTGCATATGAGAGCACACGTATCAACGAGACGAGGACACACACATGAGAGCGCACATATACGCATATGTGAGCAGACACATGAGATCACAAACCTGCCCACTCAGAAGGTGCTGAAGGGCATTTGCGTGTTGGGGCGCATTCACATAGTTGCTATAAAACAGAGTTGCATATCCGGCATCATGAGATGCGTCCAATCGGGGAAGTAGTGATGGGCGAAAACACTAACACAGGGAAAATGCATCGCTTTGCAACATTTGAGTTGGACGTGATGTGCCAAATGATCTGGGAGTGCAGCGTACAGAACATGAAGTGGCACGCGTTCGGTGAGTAGTGACCCAAGCTTTTGGAACGGAGAAGTACATGCGAAAGAACAACATGGACCAGCATTTGTTGATATAAGTTAGACCCATTGAACATGTAAAAGTTTAGGGGGTCGAAAATAGAGTGATTCCAACAAAAATACCATAAACATACAATATGCATGAACGGCAGCATGCAGTGGAGGAAAGAAAATATAGGCAGTAAATCATTCCTTGTGCGCTCTCTTTCTCTCTCTCTCTCTCTCTCTCTCCCCCTCTCTTGGAGCAAATGGTGCGGGCGGTAATCGTTGCGAAGCGACCAGAATTTCTGAATATAGGAGCCCGGAAAACGAAGCACATGGGGGCACACACATGAGATGGGAGACTCATGAAGTCTTAACAAGGCCATGCGCTGCGCACGGTCGAACACGGTTTTCCGCACACCGAGGTGAGTGCGAAGGAAACAAATGGCCCGCGGATCCTGGAGCCACGAACAAGGATGCATCAAATCGCTTGCTCGAAATTGTCACTGGTCTTTTTCTTTTTCGTGGTTCCTAGACCTGCCTTCCAGTCTTGCAAATCAGCGTGATCTGCCAGCGCCGCAAAAGGTGCGGTCAGCCACTTCCTGAAGGTGGCCCTGAGCACTGTACTGGCCTTCGTGAGGCCGTCCGAAAACTGCAGCCATGTGGGGACCCAATGCATGTTCAAAGGGGTCAGGGTTTCCTGCATGGCCCTCACATTCACTAACGAGCGGCGATCCGTCAGTGACGGATTGGGCTGTACCACAGCGTCATACAAACTCTTTGAGTCTGTGGCTTGGAGGTAGTTCAACCTCAAACCTGCCTGGTGAGCAGGACACCTATGCGTCAGTTCGCTGAGGAACATGTTCAGGTAGCTGCCGCGATCGCTGCCCTCATCGCCAGCGCAGGTGGAGCGGCAAACACGAGCGCTCCGAGCCGAGCGCCAGTCCACAAGTGCAAAGGGAACTGGTCGAACCTTGCACTCCTCAGAGGTCAAGCCAGTGATCACTGCGATCTGGCTTCCACTTCTTTGGGCATTAGCCCATGAGGCATCCGTAAACGTGAGGACCCACGTTGCTTTGCCCACAGCCACGTCCTGAATCCTGATGCCCTCAGAAGGCGTTTCTTTGAGGTAGGAGAGGGACTCATAGAGGCTGCGGAGGTCATGGATGGTTGTGAGCGCTCCATGATTTGCCAAGCTCAGCGCTGGTGCGACTTCAGGTCGGGCTTGAGTTGCAGCCCACTGCAAGCAACCGGATACTGACAGGAACTCCTGGAACTCAGCTGGTGACAGCAGCTCATCTTCTTGAAGCCTGCCCTTAGGGATGACTCCAGGCGAAAGGCCTTGGATGAACTTCTCCATTGTGATGTCCATGACATAGCGCCCAGCTTCATTCTTCTTCAGCTCCAAGGTCTTGCCTTTGAAGGTGATCTTGCTGTCGGGGCTGAAGGTGTGGATCTCGCCCCACTTGAAGAGGCTCTGCAGTGCCGAGATGTCATGGTCTTTTGTGTGGAGACCCAAAAAATCATCCACATAAATCATCACCAGGCTGACAATCTGATTAGCCTCATTGACCAGGTAGAAGAGCATCTGGTCGAAGACGTGCCTGGTGTAGCCCAGGCCCAACAATCTCTTGGAGACTTCACCTGTCCAGAGAGCTGGAGCATTCGCTAGGCCGTAGACGTTGCCCAGGATCTGGTAGAGCGCGCATTTTGATCGTGAGGTCATGGCGATCAAGCCATCAGCTGGAGCCTTCATGTATAGTGGAGCTGGTCGTTCACTGTCCTCCTGTTTGCCTTGGAGGAATGCCGTTGCAGCGTCTCCTGACCAAGACACCCATTCGTGGTCGGTGTCAAAGAGCTCGCGGTTGTGACCAGCCACGATGAGGCAGTAGAGAACCATCTCTGTGACTGTTCCTGGAGTTGGTGAGCTTCTCGTGATCTGCTGGAGATCAGGGTCTTGGTGGCCCAGACAAAACAACTCTGCACTTGGCCTTCAACTCACCTTGGCCACAGTTCTTGTCCCGGTAGAGGGCACGGGATCTCATGATGCGATGTCGAAGCATCTTGTCCTTGTAGACTGCCAAGGCTTCCTCCCGTGTGAGCGGACGGATGGATCGCCACTCTTCCCAAGACAGGGCCTCTTTGTCAATGGCCGCAAGGTACTTGTCGATCATGGCCGGTGGAAGTTGAAGAATCTGCCGCCAAGGGATCTCTCGATCCATCTGCTTGGACTCCTGTCGAGTCATGGTCTTCTGCTGGTGTGCTTTGCTTGTGGTGTTGTACACATCACTTGATTGGGATCTTTGTCTACTGGCGCTGTGTCCTTTTGTCGTTGGTGTGTGGCTGCATATGCTTTGAAGCACTGTTGTGATGCTGGTCCATAGGAAAGGAGTGCGGGTGAGCCATCCCATCCTGACGGTGCCCGTGCGATTGCGCCGTCTTCCTCGGACCACAGTGTCGTGTGCAGTGAGTCAAAAGGTCGTTTCTGCGGCAAGGTAGGCAGTGTTGTCTCATCCGTTGCTGGCGCCAGTGTTTGTTCATCTGCCGCGGATGCTGTTGTTTGCTCAACTGCTTGTTGCTCTGCTTCTTGCATCTGTTGTGCTTCTGTGTGCTCAGGTACTGGTGGTGGAACCAGTTGTTCTGTGTGCGACTGTTGCTCAGTCTCTGTGTGCGGTGCTTCCATCACCTCTGTTGCGCCTTGTTCTTCGTGAGGTTGTACTTCATGAAGAGATGCTGGTTCAGTGTGCAAGGCCTCAGAGTGTGGTGGTAGTGCCAAAGGTGCGCCAAGGGTCAATGTTTTGTCCCCTGGTGCCATCGGAGCAAGTGCCTGCTCCGGAGGGTGAAACGGTTGGAAGGAGTGTGCATGTGGCCCTCGGGATGGTGGTGTCCGAGCGCGACCCTTCCGCTGTACTGGCGGTGTATGTGGTACGTCTCCAAAGCGCTGGTAGACATTGACTGCTGCGTGCTTCTGCTTGTATATGTTTGTGGGGCTGTCAACATTGACTGTGACAGTCCTTGGTGGAATCTGCTCGATCTCAGGCGTTGCAGGTGCTGCAGCTGCCGATGGGAGAGCTGTCATCACAGGTGTTTGTGTTGAAGCTTCAGCAATCTCGTCAACCGCTGGGAGTTCATCGATCTCCTTTGGAGGAGGACCACGTTGGTCGTCGAGGAGGCTCTCTTGAAACTGGGTCGTGGCATTCTTTAGGGCCGCTATATCTTCTTCATCAGGAGTCCACTGCTCAAAGCCAAAGGCGGTCCTCATTTGCTCCGCAGTGGTCAGGACAGTAGTAGAGCCCAACCGAACCCAAGCTTGCCGTCCAGGGTGACTTGGATCCCACGAGAGGAACCTGCACATAGTCCAAGCACCTCGCTTCTTTGCTCCACGTTTCTGCCATCTCCATATTGCCACTCTCTGCCCAGGCATCACGTCCGGAACCTTCGTGATGCGAGTCTTCCTCAAAAGTGCCCTTCGCAAAGACTGACTGGCATTCATGTCAGCCAGGCATTTGATGGCCTCGCAACGAGCCATCTCAGCACGTAGTGCCGGATTGTCTGTCTCCTCATCCACAGGGTTGTAGACCTGTGAGGAAGAGGCAAGCACAGTTTCATCTTCCAAGACATTGTCTGGTAGTCGAGGTTGGCGACCAAACACTGCTTGGTAGGCCGTCCGGCCTCGTGAAAGGCACATGTTGTTCATTGCATGGGCGGTCGCAGTGAGAGCTGTCTTGACATCTCGCTTGTCCACAACTCCCATGTGGTCGATGACCTTTTCCAGCGTCAGCCTCAGAACTGCATTGCGACGTTCCACCATGCCGATGACGTGGTGAGCTTCAGGTGGACAATGTTCAACTGTGCATCCCAAGCTTTGAAGCTTCCGCTCAAAGAACCCCTTGAAGCTGGTGTCAGGGTCACAGCGAACTCGAACAGGGGTGCCATACGGTCGAAGCCATGCCTCCTCAAACAGGGTGAACATGTTCTCGGAGGTTCGATCATCCATCAACACAGCCTGCTCCAAGCCAGTTGCTCTGTCCACAATGCCAAGGACGCCGAAGGTGGTGCTGTTGAGAGTCCTTCCAAAGAAGACGTCCATCTGTACTTCATCATTGAACTGTCCAGCTTGCATGCGCGGCATAGCTGCCGGGCGAGGCTGTCTTGATGATGGATGCGCTGATCTTGCCCTGATATGCCAACAGGCTGGTGAGTTCTTGAGCTGTTGGATGTCCAAGATTGATGTGGAGCCTGGCAATGGCTCGCTTGACATCTTGTGTCACTTCTTTGGCTCCTGGGAAGCTGATGTCCGTCACAAGTCCAGGAATGGCCGTCGTGGATGAAGAAGGATCTGTCTGCCTCAGGACACTCTAGCGGTGACCAAAAGCAAAAATTGCAAAGGTGACTGGCTTCGAGAACCGCTGCCTTGGAAAGACAATGTCACCAACATCTTCGATCTCAATGGCCCGTGTACCGTCTGCATGAGACAGGTAGGCAGCTCGAGTCGACCAGCCGGTCGTGTTCACAGGTGTTCTCCTCGTGGTTGGTGCATAGACGACATGAATCTTGTCCAGGTCCATCCTGAGGAGGTTGGAAATCTCTTTGCCCATGTCGGACTTGACATCCACATAGTATGGTCGTTTTGCTGACCGCTCAAAGCAGTTAGTGACGTACTCAGTGAGCTTGTCCCATTGGGAGAGATCAGTCGTTGGCTGTGAAACTGCCATAACTTGATGAAGTGGCGGCCCAAACCGATGTGGTTCATGTTGCGCAACCAATCCACGAAGCTCTTGCAAGATGGTGCAGCACAGAAGGTCTGGATAGGCCTGTGAAGGTTTCGTCATTGAGCCCTCAATGGGCTTGCAGTATTGACGCTCCAAAGGTGAAAGGCGTCGATGCAAGGGCCTCATGCAAGCCAGGTTGATTGCCAATCCATCGCATGGTCTTGATGATGGGGTCGCCATCTATCTCAGCACCAAAGGCCCCAGCATCCAAGGTCGTAGACCATACGCCAGGCTCTTGCATCAAAGCTTGAATCTCATCGAGGGTCCAGAGATCAGACCTAAGAGGGTTCTCGATGAGGAAGTATCGACCATTGGCCAATTGTTCTCTTGCCACCTTTGTCGCAAAACGGGGAAGTTCCCGTTCCTCTTCACGAAGCTCTTCGAGGAGTGCCAGCCGATCTGAAGAGCTCCAATTCATGTTCTTGGAGAAGTGGTTCCAGAGCCGGCAATCAACGCCCATGGGCACCAGCCAGGGCTTATAGGTCTTGATCATCTGGAAGATCCGGTCTCTGGTTGCACGGTCCTTGAAGTTCTGGCCATAGAGCAAGTCCTGGGGCTCCATGGCGATGAGGTCATAGTGATGGGCCAATGAAGACATCGTGGCGGTGCCTGCAAACAGTTCAAGCAAATCAACATACGGAGGAGGTCGATCTGCCACGGTCTTGCCAACCAGGTAGGTCTTGCGCTCCATCTCGAGGACCTCATAGCTCCTTTTCCACATGCCTCTTAGGCGGTTTGCAAGTCCTGGAGTGACCAGTCGAAGGTCTCGCCCTCGTCGTCCAGGTGGATCTCCTGCTGTGGAATCACTCCGAGCTCCATGAGGCGCTGGTGTCGGCGCTGATCTGCCGTCTTCTCCATTGAAGTGCGCTGAGCCTCGAAGCTGAGCTCGTTCAGGAACATGTACTCCGTCATGTTGGCGGGCTCGGCGTCCAGAGGTGAAGCTTGTTCGCAGATCTGCCATACCTCGTGTTGAAGGTCCGCCGGCAGGTGTTCCGTCTTCAGTTCCCATGCACTGAAGTCCGTCCAGAACCTCTGGGACGCGCTTGCCGTAGAGCTCGCCGATGAAGTAGTCTTGGCATAGCCCGGCCGCTTCGTCGGCTTTGGCTTCGCTTTGACTCCCTTGCTCAACATTGCCGCTTCTGAATCCCTGAGGATCGTTGCTGAGGATGGCGCCGGCAATGGCTGCAATGGCGTAGAAGAGCTGGGCGATGAGACCTTTGTTTCCCACTTCTCGACGGTTGCGTTCCATCGCCACTTCATGTGGCATGTGAGGCAGGTTGCAAACCGTCCGTGAGCGTTGCCACGACGCTTCACTTTGGCATGGTCGCAGTCCTTCGGCAAGGGGACTGGAGCTTGAACAGCGTCGTAAGGTGGGAATGCCCTCCAAAGGAAATCCCGTGGAACCAAATGGAGTCTTGCCGCCTTGGTCATGTAGGTGATCAGGTTGGAGACAAAGCCGTACATGGCTAGCACCATTCGCTTCCATGCCACCAACCATGGGGGCGGTGCGTGTCTCATCGTCCAAGGGCTTACGCAGCGAATTGCGAGATGCTTGGGCACTCATCTGAAGCGGTGGAATGAGAAGCTCAGGATGTGGTGACTTCCAAACATGCGGCTGAGAAAACAACTTCCAAACATGCCATCGATGAGGTGCTTGTGAACGATCACAATCAAACAACTTGATAGCAAAATGACCTCCAACTTGAAAAGGATCAACTGCAATGTTCAAAAGCTCGAACTCGACTCGTCGAACCGGCAATCGGAGGTTGGTTTGCAAAATGTCCAACAAGCTGTTGCTGCCAAGAAAGGGGATCTTCTCTGGGAGGATTGCCACACCAAGTAAAAGGGGTTGTCCACCAATAACGCAAGGGATGTAGGCCTTCTTTGTTGCTATCGTTGGGGATCCCTTGCCGAACTGGTAGGTCTCGTGGCAATCAACGATCTTGGGGACCATGTCATAGTTCTTGAGCTATTCGACGTGGTGATCAAACCATTCTTGGCCGCAGCAGTTCCGTTGACATGCCGAGTCGATGATCATCATACCCTCAAAAACTTTGGGGGTGCACTGAACTTCATGAACGGTGAAGGTGGACTCAAAACCAACCATGTTGATGGTGAACATCGTGCCATACCCATGTGAATCCTCAGGGGTGCCCTCAACAATGTCAAGGCCTCCATCATGATGAACCACGCTGACGCGGTACGAAGAGGAGGAACCCTTTTGGCTGTTGCTCTTGTCATGAACGAACGGGGTCTTCCCCTTGGATCCACCTTTGGTGCTTTTTGCACCATGTGGGCACTGTGCATCACCGGCCCAATGGCCCAATCCGCCGCAGGCGGAACAGTGAGTAACCTTCTTGAGCTCTTCTGGAGGAAGCCGTGTCTTCTTCGATGGATTGGAGGTGGTGAACTTCCTTCCAAGCGTCACTCCAGAGAGCTTGCGAGCCGTCACGGTGAGGATGTCCGCGATCTCCGAAAGGTCGGCCTCTTGGCCGTCATCATCTGCTTCTCCGGCATCTGCCGTCTCATCATGGCCTTCATGGCCTTCTTCTTCCTGCTCGGGCTCCTCGTCGATCACCTCGAGAAACTCATCATCGTCCTCAGGTGGTGCCTCAGTCGCGTTCGCGACAAAGGCTTGTCGCCGAGGAATCCCCTTTCCGCTTCCTTTGGAAGTCTGTGAAGAGGAGGTGAATGAAGTAGAGCTCGAGGAGGATGAAGTGCTCATGTTGTTCTTCCCACTTTTGCCCAAGCCCTTGCCGTCTTTGTTCACGACTGGTGGAGGAGCTCTGAACTCTGGCCACTGAAGTGTGAGGCATTCAGCAATGGCCTCAAAGTCCAGGCTTTGTTGCGCGCCCACCAGTATGAGGCGTTGATCAGCATGGGAAAGGCCTGAACGGTCCAACAATCTTGAACCCAATGCTTCTCCATCAAACGTGGCCTCCAAATTCACTCCAACAGCTGTCAGCGAGCGTTGCACCCGCCGAAAGCGAAGCACATAGGCCCTCATCGTTTCGCCTTGGTAGCGGCGAATCTGTTCGAAGTCTTGCAAAAATCTCCTCTTTTGGTAAATGACACGTTGTTCAAAAGGTCGCTGCAGCTTTTGGAGAATTCGCTGGACTCCGTCCTCCACATAGAAGTCCTCGATGGCCATGTGTTCCAATTCTTGTTCAGGTTCTCCCGTGAGGGAGTTGTAGACCAACAGGGCCTGCTCTTTCGGCGTGGCGTAGGCCTTCATTTGAAGCTGCCAGATTGCTATCTTTTTCTTGTACTTTGCGAAGGCACGCATGTCCTGACTGTCGTACTTCCATGTCGGGACAGCAGGATACTGGCCCGACTTCCATTTGATGCCAGGCTCAGGTCCCTTCCGGGAATTCCATGTCGTGGAACTGTCCGAGGTCTGACTCATTGCCGTCTGAGGGCTGGTCCCGGCAAAGGCGTCGACAGTGTTCACATCGTTCCGGGTGTTGTCATGGGGTGTAGGGGCTGCAGCTCCATGGTCTCGTTGAGGTCGTGCTCTTGGTAGCCGAGGACCTGGTTGGACCTTAGGATGAGGATGAACAGTCAGGTTCAACAACTGGGTCAACCGTCGGCGTTTCCGACTCCGGCCACTCATCAGCTTCTGCGGTCGAGCTCGGTGGTCCGCTCGGAGGTCCAGTGGTCACTCTTTTCTTCTTCTTCCGGCGACGTGTAGCTTGAGCCGGAGGTTCAAGAGGCTCAGAACCACCAGTCCCGTGAGGGACGAACATCCAAGTGCCGCTGCTGGTGACCCTTTTGGTGGGCCTCGTGGCCAGGTAGAAGTCAGTCGAAGAGCATCGGCTGCAAGTCCAAGTGGAGCCAACCATGTGGTAGCGGTCAAAATCACAGACCGAACATCGCCAAGGAGCGGGTGAAGTCGACAAGCTAGGGGCCTCGTGGGCAGTGCTAAGCTCGGGCTCATGCTCAACCTGGATCGAATGTCTGGGCTCTGACCAACCTGACTCAGAGGGCGCCGCACCGATCGGGTCGAAGTCATCCCAACCATCATGCAGCTCAGAGCCATCCTCTGTGTCATCAGCAGCAAGGTCAAAGACCTGTCGGGCGACAGGCATAGTCGAAGACGAGGGTCAGCCCAGAACCTAGCTCCGGTGCCAACTTAACAAGGCCATGCGCTGCGCACGGTCGAACACGGTTTTCCGCACACCGAGGTGAGTGCGAAGGAAACAAATGGCTCGCGGATCCTGGAACCACGAACAAGGATGCATCAAATCGCTTGCTCGAAATTGTCATGAAGAATTGCACGCGCGAGAGCACACATGGAAGAGCACGCGTACACCAAATAATGTGCCTGCCACAAAAAGCACACTTCGATGTTCACAAGCGCTACGCCTGCCATGAAATCTGCACATCAAGGTTCACAAGCACTGCAACCACTATGAAATCCGCGCTCGAGGTTGACAAAGTACTGCGCCTGCCACAAAATCTGCACTTACAGGTTCACATCGAGCAGCCGTGGGTTTGAAGATGCAGCCTTTTGCAAGGTACCAACGTCTAACGCGACTCTATTATCAGATCACATCAAAACCACAGAACCATGCTGAAAGTCATATAGACATGGTGGGTCGGGTGTAAGCAGCCTCAAAGCAGCTGTCAAACCAGCTAATTGTGGCTCAAGAGCTTGAGAATGTAGGCAAACGAAAGCCAGCGCCCCTCAATGTTTCTTTGACTACTCGTTCCATCTTTGTTCTCCGCTGCAATGATCTGGAGCCAGTCATTCACTTGAGCTTCAAGTCGCGGTTCAGTTGCGCTTGAAACCAAATATATCCACATGGTCCTACCCACAACACCAAGCAGTTTTGCTCACACAATTGTGATCGAAAGATGCAGACATAGTCATTTTTGCGCTTGCACCGCCCCCATCCCCCACACCGCCTATACTCACTTCGTTTGCACGTCCACAGCTCGGCTTAGCCCATCAGCTGGCTTTCATAAAGAGAACATGTCTTTTGAAGATGTTGACATGCCATGGTTTCGGTACTCTTGTCTTATACATCCCATATATCCAACTGCTCTCAGCCTGCTCGGCCGCTGATGCACCTTGAGAAGCAGCAGCTTCCTCAGAGAAGCACATGTAATCCAAACTCACAAGCTGGTTGTGCTTTGAAATTCTTGTGGAATGGTTTTCCTACAAGGTTGTACTAGCTGCTCCTAGGTTGTATATCAAAAAAACAAAAACAAAAACATACCAGAGATTCTGACACCTCCTGCACCCTTGTCTCCTCTTCATGTCGTCGTTTCTTGATCTCACTATATCTCACTCCATGTTTGTCAGGCATCCGCTGCGACCATGGCAGCAGCCCGCACCACATCAATTGGAGAGAGGCCAAAGCGTACAGCCGTGTCTGCTGCCGCCTGTGCAGCTAAGGCCGCCTTGTTCGCGCTGTGAAACGCACGTCACGGCGCTGGGTCGGATATCTGGGAAGAAAATGAAACAAGACTAGGCCCAAAGCAATCTCTGCCACTGTGGATGAGGCATTGTTCCGCAGTCCAGACAGTACAGCAGCCACACCACTTGCACGGATGCCTCAGAGGCAAAACTGTGAGCTTAAATGTATGGATGCGAACCACAAAAAATACATAAAAACTAAGATAATTGAATTTCATTGCACAATCTCGGGAAAATCTAAATGGGAAACGCCTGCAGTGGCTGCATCTTCAGCATCGCCTCCACCTATCATGCATTGCCATCGAGCCATCGAACGTTCTTTCAGCTGTCATGACAAGTAAGTGGAGCCTAATGAACAAGTTGGCCCATTTCGGAGCCCAAACACACAAAGTCGGCTGGAAGGATGCCAAGTCTGGCACCTGCACCTCGAACACCGAACGAACCCAACTCGCCTGAGGCAGCTGTTGCAGCCGCTTGTGCTGCTTGAGCCGCAAAGTGTGCTTGTTCTTCTGCCGTCAGACCAATCTCTGCTCCTAGGAAGGCCACAGCCAGGCCAGCAGCTGCTGCCTATGCCGTGTTTGCAACACCAAACCATTCTGAACTGTGTAAATAGGATTGGAGCCGGCACAAGAAACATTTAAAGCTGTTGCAAATCCACCTTGTTCGACATGTTCCCTAGCCTTCGTGGCCGCATCGGCATTTGCATCATTTCCAACTGCAGCAACCGCAGCAAGCAGCATAGCGTCACGGAGCTGTTCCTGATTCCAATTTGTATGAAAACAACACAGGACAGGCGCTCGCCAACCAAACCAAAAATGCAATTCTTTTTAAAACTGTCAGTGGCTGACTAGCAGACTAGCGTCTTGCGTCATGTTGTTCCTTCTGCCTGCAGTGATAGCTGCTTGTGCTGCTGCCACTGCCTGCTGCTCTAATGTCATCGCTATTTGCTCTGCAAGGGCATCTGCAGCCGAAGCCATACTAACGACCTGGTCCAGAGACCGACCATGGACAAAAACGGGGACATGTAGGCCTGTCGTGAGCCCTGGGAGGCAAAGGCCTTTTTGGTGAACAAAAACTGTCTTTGCTCAGCAAGTTTTCGGTGGGACGGCATTCCATTTCACGGAGGTACGAAGCGCGGGAGGCGTGGGGTATTTGTGTTGGTATGTGTGGTGATCGACCCATGACCCGCCGGTGATCGGCAGTACCTCCCAAGGCTCAAGAGACACATCTCTCATGCACAACACCCGGTGTATCTGCGTTCTCGGTGGGTGGGGTGGGTGGGGGGTATCGACATGCGTTTTGATCATCAATGTCACCATGTTGTTTCTTCATCGCCTTCATGATTTCTTGATCTCGTCACTTCATATTCGTTTCAATCACTTCATCGTCACTTCATCTACTTCATATTCGTTTCATCAGACTTCATCTGTGTTTCATCCTCTCCATCTTCATCTTGGCTTTCCTAGGACCACCAACTCTTGTTTAAGCCCTTTGTAGGAAATGGACACCGCACTGTGGCGAAATAACATTTTTCCCCAATGCGGGCCAACTCTTGGCGGCAGTTTTGGACCACTTGCCCCACAAAATCTCCCCCGACTTTAACGCGCGGCCTCTTAAAGGGGTGCCCCCTAGTTTTGCCTCCCCCACAAGCCTTCTTCCTGGGTTGGGTTGGTCGATCTGTCTGGGAATCATGTTCTCACACGGCCTTGCTGGAAGATATTGGGAATTTGCATAAACGGACTTGCAAGGCTGGGAGGGTGATCATTTGAGCACCTGTCATCAGTGTGGGCTGAAGCAATACCAACGAAAAACATAAAGTAGAGACCTGCTCAAACAATAGGGTCTACAAGGTTGCCTTCTGAAAGAGCTTGGTGTGAAATGGCCTGCTCACTTGCAGTCTGGCTCTCGTTGTAGGCCAACATCGTGGCGTAAACGTGCCCGAGGGCTTGTGCAGCTAGCCTGTCAGCTTCCTGACACGAGAGGTCGTCTGACTTACTGCGGACATTCAGCTGCTGTTGTATCACAAATCAACTTCAGCTAACATGATGATGAAAATGACATCATCACAAGACCAAACCCATGGAGTCACCACATCTTCACTCTCTGAGTGACCTCAGTCCCTTTGTTGGCATTCAGAGCTTCCTGCTTGGCCGCAGCCTGTCACATGGCTGTTGGATCCAAAGCGGCATTTGTAGCATATTTAAAAAGCAAAATAATGGAGGTAATGAAGAGACTGTTTGTGGAAACTGAATATGCCTGTTTGAAGGAATCCCCAAGCCAATGCAAGCCAAGGGACTGAAGCAGTAATGGCCAAGTCTTCAGGACTGGATGTGCCCGTGATGCCTTGGCAAAACCAAAGACCTGTGCAACGCCCGAAACCTGCAAACCAGGGCTGCTTTACATAAACCTTCTACACAGCAAACCTGCAAACCGGCTTTACAACATCAGCCCTCTTATGGAGTGCGAAGAGCACGAGTAAAAACAACAGCAAAAGGCAATTTGACAGGTAGCGGCACTGTAGAATATGGCTCGTATTTGCTCGTATCACAAGTAGATTCGGCGTTTCATCCTCTAGTGGCTCTAGTGAATGTTCGCAATCAGTTGACTGGGCATGAAGAAACTTATGCAGAAATTCCGCTGCGACCATTGGGTTGTAATTCTGCAACTCAATCCCCAAAAGTAACATGGACCTAGGTGAGCTTTGTAACCCAAACAGTGCTGCGGCACATGTTCAGAGAACAAAAGCATTTCCATATCAGCCAAGAAGCTCACCGTGGTAGACGTGGTGGCAGTGCTGGTTGTGACAGTTGTGGTTTTACTGCTGCTGGTTTGGGTGCTGGATGTGCTACTGGTAAGCGTTGTGCTGCTGGTTGTGATGCTCGTGGATGTGGTGGAAACAGAGGTAGTAATTGTTGTTGTTGTCGTCACCGTGGTGACTGTGGAACTCGTTGAGCTTATTGTGGAGCTTGTTGACGTAAGAGTCGTTGTCCTGGTCGTTGACGTTGTCGCGCTAGAGGAACTTGTCATACTCGTCCGAGTGGTGCTTTCAGATGTTGTGGTGGTCCGTGTCGTGAATGTGAATGAAGTGCCAGTTTCTGTTGTTCCAGTCACTGAGGTGGTTGTCTGGGTGGTTTTCGTCGATGTGCTCGTCAGGGATGTCGTCCTTAATAGCAAGCATCCACAACTAGTTGATCTCATGTCAACATCTTTGTCCATCATCTCTAGAGATAGTTGGGCTAAGAGTTCATTGTCAAGCTGTTCAAGATTGCTACAACCCTGAAATTACTCATGTCAGGTCAACGTTTGTGACATCTCTTCGTTTTCCTCTTGCAGCTGTGGATCAAGGTCAACGATGTGCTAGTTGAAGTAACCTGGAAGAGTTGACCCAGAATCCTAGAAAAACTGCGCGCTGAAGCAGTGAACCGTCTGTGACTGTCCCAAGTTGTGACCTTTCCAGAAATCGGATGGAAACCTTAAAGCAGGAGTTGACAACACTCGACAAGGCCCCTGAGGCCATTTCAGTGGTGCTTGACGTGGCTGATGACCTGATCTCCATTGCACAAACAGGAACAAGAAGTGATAAAGCGCTTGCTGACTCAGTTGGTGAACACAAGTCTTCTCTATCTGTACTTGGGTCATTGCGTCCTGCTCGTGCTGGTTGTGGATCCGTCATCATTGAACACAAACGATTGGGAGGAACACGGCGTTCCTATGCAGCCTGCAAAATCTGCAAAGTACAGGTCAGAACGAGATAGAAGTATGCAATTGACAAAATCTTTCCCCTTGAGCCCCACAGAATATAGGCGGCCTGCAGTGCTCTTGCCAGAATAAGTGTTTGTGGCATAGACCAGGACCTGTGCTGTTGACCAAACTCGAATGTTCAACTTAGTCGTTCGAGAGATACGACACAGTACTGGACCATAAGTGGAGCTTGCAGAACAATGGATTGGCTGCTCGTCCGGTGTGCTGATGCAACAGCGATGCATGTCGTCAAAACGCAGCTAGGTCGAAATACCTCACCTGGACCTACTAAACCTACATAGTTGGACCAAAACTGGGGGCAAAAGCATAACTGTCAATTGTGCCTGCTCCTTGCATTGGATCAAATATTCTCAACACTGAAACGTCAAGAAAAGATGCCTATCTGAATCCTGTATCGTTGATCTGAAGTGTCAGCGCCCGAGCTCAAAGCATGGTAGTTTGCGTTGATTGTTACACTGCCTGCGCTGTGGGTCAGAGAGTCAAGTTTATCTTAAGTCATCATGTAAAAATACAATGAAATGTCAGTAATCACTACAAGTAAATAAACAAGCACTACTATTTGTCAGCCAAGCCTGCAGGGGTGACTTCGTTGGTACCAACAGGTACAGGATCGCCAAATTGCACCGGATTGTTGCCAGCCTGTTCTGGCCCAAGATGCTGGTTGTGCTAAGCAATCTAAAATCACTAAACCTCGTTTTGGTGTCAAAATCCATACAAGTTGTACAAATCTGGCCTCATCTTGTGCAATGAACACCACATAATGTGTTGTGTAGGCCAGATCGGAATCATTTTTGGGCACCCACCTCGAATTGAATTGCAGCGAATGTTGGTTCCAAACTTTGAAATGGTTTCACGCTTCATTCATTGTGAGCAAGCAAAACAAAACCAATCGTTGCCTAACTGTACCACTCACATTTCCTCCAGTGGGGTCCTGTGCGGGCACAGTTGTGGAAGGTTCTTTGTCATCTCCACTACAATGGATGTTACACGCTTTCAAACTACTGTAGCTGTAACTAAACAGCAAGCAAATCCTTGCACTGGAAACTACCGGATTGTCCTCATCTGTGAAATCCACAGAATCAAACTCAGGCTGAGATGGGACTGCTCCAGAATCATCATACCTTGAGGTATTCAATTGTTGTCGAGCAACATAGAAAAAGTTCCTATCGTTTTGCATATGTTTGAGTCCTTTATCACTTTGCATGTTCTCCACCATTTCAAAAAATTAGGAAACCGTCGAAGCAGAGCCTTTAGACAAACTTTCAAGCAATACTTCATGCACATGTTCAACCAAAACATGTCGTGTTCAACATGAGCGTTTCGTGCTGCATTCCCTCCGAATAACCAGGTTTCTGGGGTCGCCACAGCTCCAACTCGGCAACAATGCCCACTGACGGAGGTCCACCCTGGAGTCCGCGGAGCTTGTGAAGAATATGATGTGGGATTGTTTTATCGTTGCACCTCTATGATCGGGTAGACCAGTATCCAGTTCGCTGGATATGCAGGATTCAACGTCCTCAATGAGACTAGATTCCGACTGCTTCTCGCACTCAAAGTTTGTTTCCACGCAATTCTGGGGCAATCGCTGTCTGGTGACATCAGAAAATATGTGGCTGGTAGTTGGCGGCGTCACATCTGCTATGCTTTGCTGGTAACCTGCACAGCCAAAACCAACAGGTTTTGTCATACATAGGGCGTGGCAGCGGTTAGAGCATCTTTGATAGTCTCAGGTAAACCTAATCGCGACACATGCTGCCATTGACAACATGCATCTGTGCATGTATAAAGCGATGCGTGAAGTTATGTCGTATTATCGGTTTTCCCAAAAGCATTGCGACGGGTTCTTCCGGAAAATCCCTTGAACACTGACACTTCGACACTTACACTTACACACTGACACTTCCACCACACTTGCACTACAACATGAACGCTATACGTACCCCAGTGTAAGTGGAAGAGCGAAAGCATCCAAGTGCAA